ATTCTTTACACTGACCATGATTTGTTGGTATTAAGGGCTGTCGAGTCGGTTCTGACTCATTAACGACCCTGTCTGTATAAGGTTTCTGAGGAGTCTTGGTGTGCACTGTGGGTTAATGCGCCAGACTGCAAAGCCGTTTGAACAGAAAGATTGGCAGTTCAAGCTTACCAGCTGCTCCTTGGAAACCCTATACAGGGTCGCTATGGATTGAAACTGACTTGATGGCACTTAACAACAACAACATAAAGTTTCTGAGGAGTGGCTGGTGGGTTTGAATTGCAAATCTTGTGGTTAGCCATCCAGTGTTGACCCTAGAGCACCAGTCACCCAGGACTCCATGATTTAGGTGCTATGGACACTTTGAGAAAGCACAGCAAATGCCCACCAGGTTAGTTCTCACAGGCCCAGGGGGGCAGCCTTCATTCTACTACATGATAATCAAAGGAATCTATTGTTTCATGAACCATAGTCCAGGTCTCAGTAAGAAGAGTAATGTGATTTCACTGGATGAATTACATCTGTATTTTCCTCCAAAAGAAGACATATTAATTTTTGGAGACTTAATAAATTACCTTTCACTGATTTTAAGGTGCTAAGTGTGGTGTTGTGCACTTTAAACTGCAAGGTTGGCAGTTCAAGTTCACCAGCTGTTCCTCAGAATCCCTATACACGGTCGCTATGGGTCAGAATCGATTCGACAGCATTTAACAACAATAATAAATCAACCTTTTACTGAATTTAAAGTGCTAAGTTTTATTTTAGGTTGGAAATTTACCAAGTACCACGTGACGCCCTGTCACTTGAGCTTAGACATGCAAGACAATAATATTAACACTGGTGTCCCTCTTCTAGTGAACATCTTCATTTGTATTTGATTTTAGTGAGATCTAGCTGTAAGCACTGTAGGATAAGCACTGGACAGCTAATCACAAGGTCAGTAGTTCAAACCCACCAGCTCCTCCGAGGGAGAAAGATGAGGCTTTCTGCTCTCATAAACATGTATAGCCTCAGAAACTCTACACAGACCAGAACTGCCATGAGTCAGAACGACTTGATCGCAGTGGGAGATCTCATTAAAGGAACAGAAAGGGCGTGGAAGGAAGCATGGTTGCGATTTCCTCTGCACTTGAGAAGGTCACTGATGTTTAAATCTTAATAGCCGTGATATATAGTGATTGGGTCTTACTTTTCAGCATATACCATACAGAATTTTTAATATACACTATAACCGAAATTATGCTTGTGGAGACGGACATTTAAAAGACCCTTGAAACAGGTGATAATAACCAGTTTATAAAGTGATCTTAACTAAAGTCCAACCAAGTCTATTTTATGCACATAAAATAATTTCTTCCATGTTTAACTTGGAGGTAAGTCACAATAAGGAATCACAGCCACATCAAATGAATCTCAACAGTAATGCCACCAGAGAGTACTAGATGTCAAAAACAGCAAAGTTGTCCATGGAAGGAGGAGGAGTGAACCATGATTACAAACTACCCTCATGTCTTCTGTGTACCAATCTCAATCCCCACATAAATGTTGCTTTCCTGTTTGGGGCTTGTTCCTAATGGTATGTTCTGTCTTCTGCCAGCTCTTCTCCCTGAAGGGAGTTCTGCTGTGGTGTTGCAGGATAAGCAATGGACTGCAAAGTCGCTTTGAACACAAGGTTGACGGTTCAAACGCACCAATCGCTCTTTGGAGACTCTATACAGAGTCACAATGAGTAGGAATTGACTCGACAGCTCTTTAACAACAACAACAATCTAACTTAAAATATATATATATTTTGGGGGAAGAGCTTGATCTGAACCAGAGGATTAATGCAAGATTCGCTGAAAATTTAGTAAGTTATTTGATTATTTTAATGACTTTATTGATAGGTAATTCACATACTGTCATTAAGTCCTTGACTGTTAGGATAGCCACAAGTCAGGGGCTTTAGGGTATTCATAGGGCTGTGCATCCATCACCACAACCAATTTAGAACATTTTCATTAAACCCCTACCACAAACTCACCCCCTTAACTGTCACACCCCTCCTACTCCTAAGCAACCCTGAGTCTGCTCTGCCTATTACACTGGTTTGCCAAGTACGTCCAGTTCATACAAATAGAATCAGACAACGTGAAGGGCCTTGTGGCCGGTGCCTTTCAGTTAACATCACTTTCAAGGCTCACACATACATCAGCACCTCACTCCTTTTTACCGCTGTGCATCTGCCCCACTTCCGAATGTTTCTACTTTCTGACTATTATGAATAATGCTTTTATGAAAATATATGGGGAATTCAGCAATTTCACTCTTAGTTATGTGCCCAAGAGAAATGAACACATATGTCCGCTGTGTTACTGTTGTTGTTAACTGCTGTCGAATTGGTTCTGACTCATAGTGACCCTGCATAGGGTTTCCATGGAGCAGCTGGTGACTCTGACACTGACCTTGTGGTTCCACAATGGCACACCAGGACTCCGCTGTAGACATGTGTTGTCATATCTCTTCTATATGTAGCTAAGAGTGAAATTGCTGAATCATATGGCAACTGCATGTTTAACTCTTTGAAGAGCTGCCAGGTTGCTTTCCAAAACGGCTGCACCATTTGATTTAATCACTTAAAATAAATGATTTTAAAATCTCCCTCAAATATAAAAAGTGAACTTTCCTATGTCTAACCTAACCCTTCACATATCGTTCTCCCTTTCTCCCCACCCATGGTGACAGCCACTTGTTAGATCTCCCTCCTAGTCCCCTGGAAAAGGAGCGAAACAAGCACTTGGCCAATGCCTTCACTAGTCTGCTTCTCTGAGGGCCTGCTTCCTACACCATCAAGAGGCTGCTCTAAAGGAGGATCTGGAATGAGTGGTGTCTGAGGCTGGAGACTAGTTTCAAGGAGATTTAGCCCTAGAGCAAAGTGACGAGTAAATTATTCTAAATAGCAGAGAATACTTTGTATGGAGTCCTGGTAGGATCAGTGCTGGACTGCTAAACGCAAGGTTGGCAGTTCAAACCCACCAGCCGTTCCTTGGAAACCCTATAAAGGTTCACTATGAATCAAAATTGACTCCATGGCACTTAACGACAACAACAATGTCGTGTTTTGATATTTAAAGGGGAAAAGGGTTCTAGCTAAGAGGAGGCCAAGATCTAGATTCTGAGGGAATGGCATTTTCTTCCAAAAAGGAAGCTGGCCACCGAGAGATCTGCTTCATCTCAGGAAAAGATGAGTTGGTGAGTAGGAACGACTATCTTCTGGCAGAAACTCTGAAATTTGGAATTTGAGTTTGCTGTTGTCCCTGGAGGAGCCTCAACTCTTACTCAAGCAATAAAGTGCTATCTTCCATTAAGATGATGAAGTTACGAATCAATTCGCTGAAGAACAGAAGTCTTTCTTCTAACAGACTAAGTCTTCTCAAACATCATGTCCAGTCAAAGTTATCAACTGCCAATTCAATCTGTAGATTTTCAATCTCTGAATAGAGTTAATGGAGGTCAGGTATTTGAGTAGTGATTTAACTCTTGGCCATGTTATAGAAATTAGGAAAAGAACACACAAGGTTAAAAAAAAAAAAAAAATGACCTTACAGTCTCATAAAGATCCCTCCCTTCATTTTGCTACCAACAGCCTATTTTCACTTCGTTTCCATACAATGCCAACCTTATCACTGTTTGCTCAGCCCCCTAGAGAAAAGTAGAGCCGAGTGGGAATGGAGTGATGGAGAAAGGACTCCAAATGCCAGGAAGCAAACTGCTGATGTTGATGAGAGACAACAGAAGATCATTCCAGAAGTAGAAGGTTCTGGGGTTATGTAGTGAAGGAAGAGAGAGGAGAGAGAGCTTGTGAAGGGCTCACAGTCCAATCACTGACGCCCACGAAGGTGAGTTGGAGTCCTCAAAAGTGTTAATTTAGCTCATTACTGAAGAAGAAAGTAAGAATGCAAGACAATTTAGAATACACTTAGACTCCAACATCAAGGAGTTAAAACGGTGACTCTTAAAGATACTAATTATCTCCAAAATTTTAGACTCAAGGTAAATAATAAGCCAGCCTTTATTTTTCTTTCCTTCCTCTTATTTTGTCCTAATACATGACTAAGCCTGATCTGGAAAGAGAGGTCTAGAATGAGAAAATTACTCAGAAATCCTAGCAATGTGTCTTAAAACACATCAATAATTATTTAAGGTTGGAAGAAACTCAGCAAAACTCAATCAGATCATTTACTTGACTTGAAAGACTCAAACCAATAAAGGTAATTTGAGCACCACTTCTATAGTGATCTCTTCCGCCTTCACCTTCTTCTTTCGTCTTTCTACCTAGACTACGCCCTGGTTCAAACTGGTTCATTCATGACTGATGTACTGACATTGGAACAGATCTGAGCTTTTAAAAATGTGGATTCATCATAATGATAACCGGAATGGGGAAAATTATGGGTCAAAGCCCTGAAGTTGGAGATTCACAGCAAGCCCCTTCAGAAGCCCGAGGTGGGAGAGGAGGTGATTTCCAGGACTGTGGAGAGCAGAACACATTTAAAGCAGCAGGTTGGCCGCCATCTTTGAATGGGGCAGTGTCATTTTAGACTCTGTTAAGAGTTGGTTGCTATGCAACAAATAAACCGCCCCTGAAAGGGAGATTACGTTTCTAGAAGGACATGAACCCATAATTTCCCCTGTTCTGTTTATCATTCAAACAAGCAGAACTGACAGATTCGAGTCTGTTTCAGTTTTGCTTTATGAGCTATGACTGACCAGGAAGAACTAGTTCAAAGCCTTACTTTCTACAAAATCACATCAGTGGTTCTCAAAGTGGGGCATCCCCGGCAGCACTTGGGAATTTGTTAACTAAAAGGAAACTACACCCAATTCAGAAACTCTGGGGGTGGGGTCCAGCAATCTGTGTTTTAAAGAGCCCACCCGGTGGTTCTGAGGCTCACTGAAATTTGAGAACTAGTGTTTCAGTTAGGTAAAAGGCACCTCCACTACATGGAGCCTGAAGATGGTACCTTCCAGATGCTTCAGGAGTGCTCTACTGGAATTTCCATGCGCAGATATCAGAATGGTTTTGCCACTTAATACTTCGGGAGCAATCCTCTCGTTCCAGTAGGGAAGGAGCCTTTCCAGAACATCCTTTAAGCTTTCCGATTTGGGCAGCTGATCCACAGGCACGTCGCACACTTTGTACCGTCGGTCATTGTAGATCTCGTGGTAGTAAGGGTGGCACTCCTCGATGGGAGGCGGGGTCACGTTGTAGCTCCTTCTCCAGAGCCTCACTTGTTCTTCGCCGTGATTCAAAGCCATTTTCTCCCTATTGAGACCAATCAAGGCTCCATAGTGACGCTCATTAAGACGCCAGGAGCTCTCCACGGGGACCCACTCCTGCCCCAACTCTTCCAGGATGAGCCAGGCTGTGTGGATGGACCGATTCAGGATGGACGTGAAGACAAGGTCAAACTCAAAGTTGAGCTCCTTGAGTTGCTTCCCACAGTTCCGAGCCTCCTCCAGTCCTTCGCTGTTAAGTTTCTGGTCCACCCAGCTACAAAAGCGGTTCTCCTTATTCCAAGCACCCTCCCCATGTCTTAACATAATAAGTTTATATTTAGACATATTGTTGGCTGAGCTTTCCTGGCGTTGTAAGTGGGTGGACCAATGTTCAACAGTAACAGAACATCTAGGAAGAAAAGAAACAGAAGATTAGGTTATAGCCTTCATTCAACTTACTACCTGGGAATGAAGTTCACCTCTACGAGGGCCAATTCTCAAAAATCAATCGGAATTCTTTTGAATGCTTTTGACACCACACATCTGGAAATTCATCCACTATGGTACAGACAGTCATATTCTATAGCTAATTAATTACAGGGAACCTGTTGTTGTTGTTGTTAAGTGCTGTTGAGTCCATTCCAACTCATAGAGATCCTGTATAGGGTTTCCAAGGAACAGCTAGTGAGCTTGAACTACCAACCTTGTGTTTCAGACAGACTTTGCAATCCAGGGCATTAACCCACAACACCACACCAGGACTCCTAGTTGACTTAAAGTTTTTGGTGGCTGGATGGTATGTTAATTGTGAAAATAACACCTACTGCATTCTAATAGCAAGCTGCACCTCCGCCACATAAACAGTCAGTTTATGCTTAAAGCAGAGAAGCTTTAATGGGATTTGTAGTGGTCTTAAACAAAGAGTGCTGTAGGATAAGAACTGGGCTGCTGATGGTAAGTAAGGGCAGCAGTTCAAAGTCACCAGTTGCTCCAATGGAGAAAGGTGAGACTTTCTGCTCCCGTAAAGATCAACAGTCTTAGAAACCTTCTCGGGGTCACTGACAGCGAGTGAGTGCGTGAAAAAGATGACAAGCGACTGAAAACTCCCAGCTTCCAACAGCTGGAGAGAATAACAACATTCTTCTCACTTTGTTCTTCCCCTGGTGGAAAAGGAAAGATTTACTGGCCTTGCCTTGTTAGAAAGATTATGAAACTGTTAACTCTATGAGCCTGGCATAGCACTGGCAGGGGGCAACTCGCTTCTCAGTGTCACCAGCTGTACCACAGCCAAGAAAATCTCAGCTATATAAGACATCAGCTCAGCATCCAAACAATATGAAAATGATTTAAAGTAACATTAGTACCCAATGTGATGCTTAAACAATCTCTCATTTGCCTCAAGACAGAGTTTTAAGCAGGAAGAAATCCAGATGCAAAACAAACTATCCAATGCTGGCAGCTGAGAGACGCTGCCGGTGGAGACCGATTAGGAAGGGTGGTTCCCAGGAGTGAGAGGACCCACACTGATAAGGAGGCCCCTCCCCTCCTCTCTAAATGCACACACACACCAACCAAATCCCTAGCCGCAGGAGCATCTAGCCAGGTGGCACCGGCAGCTTTGTGACTGCTGATCCAAAGATCTGCAGAACGCACACACGGGGCCGCACCAGCCTCTGCCCCTTGGACGGCAGGTCCACACAAACACTGTTCCATGTAGATGCCCAACACTCTCCACGTCCATGCTGGGGAGTGAAAACAGTGCAATGTCTGGGCCTAGTCTTCTGCCATGTTTGTTGTTGTTGGTAAGTGCCATCTAGTCAGTTCTGACTCATAGTGACCCTGTATAGGGTTTCCGAGGAGTGGCTGGTGAGCTTGAACCGCCGACTTTGCAGTCCAGCGCATTAAACCACAGTGCTGCCATGCTTAGCAACCGCCAATTGCTGGAGATTTTCTGTGCCACTTACATAGTGATTCAGCCGCAGTTGCACAGCATTCAGTGACAGTCACTAGAGTCTAGTTCCCACCTTTCTTTAGTAACTCCTAGACATTCGGGGGAGAAAGAAAGTTTCCCATCTCAGTGGAAGGCAGACAAGGGCACTGAGAGAGGAAAGCTGAAGGAGTGGGTTTGTAAGCAGTTGACAAGGTGACACTATTGTGGTTTATAATCCTGCTTTCTCTTCAGGCTTCAGGTTAGAACCCTTTGTTCATGTGGAACAGTAAAGCGCCAGGTTTGGGTAGGAATTGGAACCCGCAGCAGGGACCTCACAGGGCTGAGGATTCCAGTGCTGCTGGAGGGGTTTTGCTGATGACAGCTGTGTCCAGAGGCAGAATGACCCTGAAGTGAAGGAAGGTAAACTCCAGGACCCCACACTAGAACAGACCCTTCTAAGAATCCGGAAGAGGCCAAACCATGACTTCATATCGCAATGGTGGTGGTGGTGTGCCATGGAGTCGGTTCCAACTCATAGCAACCCTGCAGAGAGTTTCCAAGGCTGTAAATCTTTACGGGAGCAGAAAGCCTCATCTTTCTTCCACGGAACAGCTGGTAGTTTTGAACTGCTGACCTTGAGGTTCGCAGCCCGATTCATAACCACTAAGCTACCAGAGCTCCTTTCACATTATAATGGGAGCTTGGGTTTTGTTGTTGTTTTGCTTTGTTTCTGTTGTCATTTTCAAACAGAAGATGTTTTTGTACAGTTTCTCCTAATCAAGAGTCCTAATCCACTAAGTTGTAGAAACTTCAAGCCCCACAAAAGCTGGATTCAGCCCTGCTTAGACCCATCCATTGCTTTGGTTTTCTTACAGGTCGGTAGGATGGGGCAAAGAGAAACTCTCAGCAGTTCCTCTACTCTGCCTTTAGCTTTCTTGGCAAGCATGGGGCCCTGTAGGCGAAGGCGTCTGGTTTCCCCACATGTGGAGGAGGTGCTGCTGAACAACTTTGTAGGCAGAAGCACCCCTCTTGATTTTTTTCACTGGCAGCTCTACCAAGATGCAAGGGAGTGTCACAATAGCAACATGACTGCCACCCACCAACAAGCTTTGTAGGACCGTACCATTTTGCATTGTTAACTTTCTTTAAGAAATGAATCAACTTCTCTGTTTTCTCCTCATCATACATAGGCAGGGGAATAGTACTATAGAAACAAAGACATCATTTCCTGATGCTGATGAGCAGGAAATGGGTACAGTATAAGGTGCCCAATTAGTGTATCTATCCCAGGCATACAAGAAACCACCTCTTTTCGTCTTCCTTAGGACCATCAACTAATTTCCCCCATTAAATTGCTGAACAGTTACAAACAGCGTTTATTGTACTGCGGTGGCTTGCGTACTTCTGTGATGAAAATTTGGGAGAAGAAGAGGTGGACTACTTCCAAATGTTTAGCCATGGAAACGTCCTGAATAGCAGTGGAACACTGTCAGTTAGCACCAGAATACTGAATATTGAAACATGATGAAGAGCACCAGGATATTGTCAGATGAGCCCTCAGATTGGAAGGCACTCAAAACATGACTGGAGAAAAGCTGCCTCCTCAAAGTAGAGTGGACTGAGATGATGTGAACGGAGTAGAGATTTGGGGACCTTCATTTGCTGATGGGGCACAACTCAAAATGAGGAAAAACCGCGGCAAACGAGCATTAATAATCAGAAGATGGAATGTACAAAGTATGAATCTAGAAAAATTTCAAGTTGTCAAAAATGAAATGGAGCCTACAGATCGTTTGTGCTCCTCAGCACTAGTGAGCTGAAATAGACTGATACTGGCCATCTTGAATCAGCAATCGAGTCAGACATGGTTTACAATGCCGGGGATCACAAATTGAAGAGGAATACCATCACATTCATCATCAAAAATAACATTTCAAGGATCTATCTTGAAGTATAATACAGTCTGTGATAGGTAAGATCCATACAGCTACAAAGAAGACCAGTTAACACCACTATTATTCAAATTTACTCACAAACCACAAATGCCAGGGATGATGAAATTGAAAAATTCTACCCACTTTTTGGAGTCCTGGTGTGACACTATAGGATAAGCACTGGAGCACAAGGTCGGTTTGAACCACAAGGTCGATGATTCAAAACTCACCAGCTGCTCAGGGTCATTATAAATTGGAACTGACTCAATGGCACTTAACAACAACAACAAACTCCTTAAGTCTGAAATTGATCAGACATGCATATCAAGATGTATTAATAATTACAGGTATTGGAATGCAAAGGTTGAAACCAAAGAAGAAGGATTATTTGATGGAAAATGAATGATGATAGAAATGATGCTGGCAACCACATGATAGAATTCTGCAAGACCAATGACTTGTTCATTGCAAATACCTTCTTTAAACAACATAAAAGATGATTACACATATGGACTTCACCAGATGGAACACACAAAAATCAAATTGATTACATTGTGGAAAGACGATGGAAAAGCTCCATATCATCAGCCAAGACCAGGCCTGGGACAGACTGCAGAGCAGACCATCAATTGCTCATATCCAAGTTCAGGCTGATGCTGAAGAAAATGAAAAACAAGTCCAAGAGAGCCAAAATATGACCTTGAACATAATCTACCTGAATTGAGAGATCGTCTCAAGAAGAGATTTGATGCGTTAGACACTAATGACCAAAACCCAGAAGAGGTGTGCGATGACATCAAGAACATCATATAGGAAGAGAGCAAAAAAATCATTAAGAAGAAAAAGAAGAAATAAACAACCAAAACAGATGTTAGAAGAGACTCTGAAACTTGCTCTCTAGTGTAGAGATGCTAAAGCAAATAGAAGAAAGTGAGGAGATAAAAGAGCTGAACAGAAAACTTTAAAGGGCAGCTCGAGAAGGCAAAGTCAAATATTATAATGATGGAACCTAACAACAAATAAATTACTTCTTCATTGCAAATACTTTCCTTGAACAACACAAAAGACAACTATACACACAGAGCTCACCAGATGGAATACACAAAAATCAAATTGACTACATCTGTAGAAAGAGATGGTGGGAAAAGCTCCATAACAGCAGCTAAAACAAGGCCAGAAATATACCATCAATTGCTCATTTTCAAGTTCAGGCTGAAACTGAAGAAAATTCAAACAAGTCCATGGAGCCAAAATGTGACTGTGAATATATTCCCCCTGAATTCAGAGAGCATGTCAAGTACAGATTTGATGAGATAGACACTAAAGGCCAAACACCAGAAGAGTTGTGGGATGATATCAAGAACATCAAAGAGGAAGACAGTAAAAGGTCAGTAAAAAGACAAGAACAAAGGAAAAGACTAAAATAGATGTCAGAAGAGACTCTGAAACTTGCTCTTCAACACATATATGTTAATGTAAATGGAGGAAATGAGGAGGTAAAAGAGCTAAACAGAAAATTCCAAAGCGCAGGTCAAGAGGGCAAAGTCAACTGTTAGAATAAAATATACAAAGATCTAGAGTTAAAAATCCAAAAGGAAATAACACAGCATTTCTCAAGCTGAAAGAACTGAAGAAAAAAATTCAAGCCTCGACTTGCAATATTGAAGAATTCTATGAACA